TATACATGGGGTATCTTTTGTGATGCTTCTACGGTTATTCCTACTAATTTACAGGTGATTTTTCCTGACTTAAAATGTCATATCTCTATTGACCTTAGAAAAATACATTCTTGAATCTGGCAGATTCACAAAGAAATGTCCATATCAGTACATAGGTTAAATTGGGAAATTATGTTGAAGACAGGGCTGAAGTTGGAATTCCTAACTACAGAATGAAGGAATGCTTACATTTTATATCAATGGAAATGCTGGTCAGATTGTCAGGCTGTTTGTTGTATGGCTAACTCTGAGTGATTATGGGCTGAGGGAAAAGAAAATTCTAGCCAACTGGCCCTGAGGTATTGGACAACTGTAAGGCTTGGATTGCTTTCTGGCTTTGGCTTATTTTTCTTTCTCTGTAAGTGACAACTATCAAAACGAGTAGCAATACCAACTCCACCAACCCCAGGATGGGCTCCTTCTCTAGGTACTCAAAGTACCTGTGGTGATCAAATGCTTAACCTTTCTAACCTTGACCTCTTCAAGGGCCTCATTGCCTGGGGCAAAAAGAAAGTTAACTGGCTATCTGTAGGTGGTGTGGGAGCTAAAACTGGCAGAGATGGTCAGATTGAAACATTCTCTTCCAGCTCCTGTGTTATGTAAGATTTTGGCTGGTTCTCTTCTGTTTAGTTAAAACAAAACAGTGGGAGGCTGAAGTGGCACAGTTAAGTACTTTGTAATCTGGTAAAGGTAGGTCAGAAAACAGCTTCCACTGAACAGGTATAATGTAAATAAAGTCAGTTATAAAGTTGTGCCAGCAGCATTTTTTTTTTTTTTTCCTTTATTGAAGGGAATGAACTGCCCTACGCTGGCCATCCTTAACTGTTAAATATCATCTTTCAATGGTTACCGATTTGGTTTTGGTTACTGGATCTTAAAGGAGGAACAGTGGTCAACATTAACAATTTGTCACTTAAATAACTATTAATTGATAAACGTGTTAACTGACACATATATCAGCTGATCACTTTCTGTGAAAGACGAAATCTGATTCTATCATAAAGGTAATATCTGTCGTGTAATATATGAGGTATTTCACTGCTTGCAACCACTGAAAAGGGAAAACTTGTTCTAAAAACTGCCTGGTGTGTGTGTGTGTGTGTGTGTGTGTGTGTGTGTGTGTGTGTGTGTGTGTGTTTATAGTGGGGATTAATTTAAAAAGCAAACAATCTTTGCTAATGATCTTGTTAAAAGATGAAATTATTCTACTCTTGTTCGATGCTGTTAGCTGAGGCTGACCTGTTACCTGTTACTAGCCTTCTCTTTTGGTGACCTGTAGCAAACTAGAAAGCCTCCATAACAGCAAAGCAACATTATGCTTTAGTTAAGTCTTAGAGCAAAAACACCGTCCTTTTCAAAGCCTTAGAAATAACTCTCTCTTACTAACTTTTCCACTATTATCACAGACGTCTCACATTTAAAAAAGCTCCAAGGATTGCTTTCATGGACTATGTACATTAAGTGCAAAAAAGGTGTGTCTCACACATCCGCACCCTAACTGAGACAGTCAATTAACTGCAGCATATGTTTCTTAAACACTGTTAAGGGGTCATTCCACAGTATCTTTACGTATAGTTTTAAATATATGAATTAATTTCAAAAGAGGCTTTAGTCATGCTTTAATCCTCATATAGCTATATTTGCTTATGTAATTCCAGAAAACAGAATTTTTGCAGCTACAGCTATGCCACTTGAATAGGGTAATTTTGAATAAAGTTACAAAAAAGTTAGGTAATGTATTAAAAATGCAATGATTGTGTTTTTAAGTCTAAATACTGTGGAATAACCCTATCCACACAACAAATTCTATAAACTATAAAGCCTGATTCTCGAATCCATGTGTTACAAACTTTTTCACAAAAAGTCACACAAGGACACAAATTCAGCTTTTATATATGGGCCTTTGGGTTTAAAAAATAACTCAACCATGTCTGTTTTCATAGTTTTGAGCTGTATTTTCTACATGCTCATACTGTCACAAATCACCTATAGTTTACAAGTAAAATGTTCACATACACAAATGTCTAAAGGTAGCCATGTTGTAATTTTGTTGCCAAAGCAACAACTAAATATAATTAGATAACAATTATTATTTGTATATAAAGTTAAATTTGTTCTTAAATTGTGAACTGTAAAGGATAGTTTTGGACTATAATCTGTATCTTGTCATACTTCAGTGTCAGTTTAGAACCTAGCTAGGCGGGCAGAATCCATGCAGTAAAAGCTTAAATTTTCTTTAACTTTACTTCGAAATTAAATTCATTAGTTACTTAGAGCTACAGAAAAGCAATAAAATAAAGCCTTAAAGATGAAAAATAAGAAAAATGAAAATATGGTACCAATTAGTGAGTTATATTTACAGTTTGATTAGGTTAGCAACTAAATTTACAGAAGAAGTTGTTATACACTTGGACATGCTATTTATTCTAGTGCCTTCTACAGGCACTGGTTAAACAAGGCTACTATCTTAGTATATCTATTCATCAGAAATGGGAAATCAGATTTCCCTCATAAATTTTGCCTATTTCTGTTTCAATGTGTGTGAAATGTATTTGAGAGAAAAATAATGAGGATTTCAGTTTCCAATCATTCTGTACCTCATAGCCTACCCTACAGACTAAAGGAACTCAGAAAACTTGTGGCTGCATTTTACCTAAGAGCATCCTTATCTATACTCTTCAAAGAGGGGGACAAAGAACCAAATAACATTTCAAGTAGCACATTAACGTTCTCTCTTATTTAAGAAAATGTAATGTAAATGTCATTCCTTATTCAGACATCACTATGCTTATTGGTAATGCTACTTAAAACAGATTCAAGTTGCAAAGATTAATTTCATTCGGTTTCTGCTGATGGTAGGGAGGAGGTACTTGCTTTTTCCCAAATTGGAGAGCAGGTGAGCTGAGGCCCTCCCATTAGTGAACACCGCCTAGTGGTATAGGACAACACTTATGGCAAGATCAAAGTGCTTCAGCATGTTCAAAAATGGATGAAGAAAATTGATGGGGTAGAGAGAAGATGACTTTCCACATCATGATTAACTACAAATTAAAACCTCTGATCTAGATAAGTGAAATGAAATGCCACTGCTGGTTGTGGAATCATGCTCCAATTAAAAAAGTAAATACTGTATTTAAATAGCAATTTTATGAATCCATTTACTTTAATTTAATCTTAATCCCTCTTTAAAATATACGTATGTTATGGTCACGTAATACTTTTTTAAAAAGTTGACGCTACTAAATCCCTCTTAAAGATAACTTTTAGATTATTTTCTCTGTATACATGACCCGTTTTATCCAAGTTTCAGCACTCTTGCATATGTTTTGCAAAAGGCTGAGAAAAATGGAAAAAAACAATAAATTTGGATAAATAGAGGCCCCTGTAAAATACAAAGCTTATAAAATGTTAACTAAGAATCATAAGTGATTAGAATTTTATATATACAATTCATCCAGTAAATTTTTGTTTAGAGTCACTGATTAGTTTTGTGACTTGTCTTTTTAAATGGAAATTTATAGTCTAATGACTTATCTTTCTTTTCTTTTCTTGAATAAAGATAATTTGAATAAGTCATTGCACATCTAGTTCAAAGAGTGCTATCTTAAAATTGTATTTTTTTCCTCAAAACTCTATTGAATTTGATCAAAACTTTAGGGCTTTGAGCTTTCTTTCTTTAAATTCATTTACAAAACAACTTTTAAAATGCCAACGATGTAGAAAATTGTGGCACCAAAAATACAATGGCCCTAAATATTCCTCACTGAACCTTTTACTTTAAAGTAAGTCATTGTTAATGTCTTCCAGTGCTTAACGCAACATGAAAACAGCTGTACTCTAGGTCTATTATCCATGGTTTATGTACGTCTTTGCCCAAAGTTGAAAAAGTTAAGTGAGATAGTTCACTGCATGCAGATGTCAAACTATACAAAAGTTCATTTTGCACAAAAAAGTTCTTGTCTTCTTTAAGAAATATATCCAGACTAGCTCAGGTGCATCCCTTCTGGATTCATGTAGTCAGATCCGCCCTTCTGGAGAGGCACTGGCACAGATCATACAAAACTCAGTTCCATACAGAAGGAATTTCAAAAAGGCATACACTACTTTCTTCTATAGCAATGTTAAGATTTAAGAAACAGAAATTAACTGGTTCAAAGAGTCCATAGGTAAAAGTCAGGACAACTCTTGATCTCTAATTCCACGCAACACTGTCAACAGCTGACAATGGCTCAATACAAGCAAGACTGTTTAGAAAGCACTGTTGATCAGGATTTGGATGGATAATTAAGATCAACAGAGCATCAATTCCCAGAAAGCTAATTTTGCTCTCTCGCATTCCGAGCCAAATGGGTCTGCTTTGGGAGAGAGCATCAAATGTTCTGAAGCACAAACAATGTGAAAAGGAGGAACAATGGGAAGCAGGAGATATTTCTAGTTCCCACAATGGCTAAGGTAGCCTTGGGCAAGTCATATGCCCCTGGATTCAGTTCCATCAACTATGAGAAGGATTTTGCTAACTCCATTGTTCTGTGATTCGAACACTTCTAGCCAGCTTAAGTTATCCTCAATCAGATTTGCTTTTTGTCATATTCATGAAAGAGAAAAACAATTATATATATATATACACACATATATATGTATATATATGATGGTTTTATACTTTCTGGTGGAAGAACACCTATTTACTAGAAAATATTAAATCTATTACTTGATGTAAAATCTCATGTTTCCACCACTGTATAATAACATTAATAACTGAGTAGAGTGGATGAGATATGTCACACACCACAGGAATTATTTGGTTGTAAAATTCTTTCATAAGTATTAGTAATGTGAATTCAGCTGAGCTCTGTGGAGTATAGCCACTCTGTCTCATTCAAAGGGTGCTAAAACCCTCTCTATTGTCATTTTCAAACATATATAAAGGCAAACAAATCCAAACAAGCAAAAAAAAGGCTTGGTTATGATGTGAGAGGGTCTGATGTTAAAGTTTGGGCAGGGGGACACTTGCCATATATCACAGGTGCTTTCTCCTTCACTGAACTGTTTAACAAAACGAAATTCAGTTGAACCGAAGCTAAAGACCATTACAACCATCTTTCCCAGTTCTTTTGAATAAATCAAGGAATAATTGTAAGTGCTTCCCTGTTCCCTGTCCTAGCCATTTCTCCAAGCCTGTACTCAGGCTCCCTCTGTGATCAATAGAGAAGACTGTCCATTTGGGGAGGAAAGTCGTTATTTGTAACCAATTCTCTTTCACCCCGACTGACTTTTGCTAGATTGCTTCTTACTTGTTATTCAAAGAGTAGCCTAAAGAGCATGAGCCATTTGCATTTGGAAAATGGCATTTGTGTAAAAGGTGACATTGCCATGGTTTTACACACTTTCCTCGAGTATGTAAGAACTATCTCCACGCCCCCATCTCTCTGTTTGATTTATAACTTGTAATTAGCATATTTTTAAGCTCCCAAGTACCAGTTTCTCAGCTGAAGATGACAAAATGGCTGAGTTTTAGACACTCAACCTAGGAGATAGGATTCTCAAGCCACACACACAAAAAGTCTAATGGGCACTTTACATAATTTTTACTATAAATGCTGAGAAATTCATTTAAAGGTAAAGTCTTATTTTCCAAGCTATTTAAGAAGAGTGAAATAGGGGTTAATGTTTTATGAAGTTCTCTGCTTTGTGCAGGTAATTATTTCTCTCTTTAAAAAATCTAGCAATTTGATTGTATTATGCAACATCAGATCTGCAGGTACAAATTATACACATGCATGTTAATGAACAGGTTTTGTGCACATTCAAAAATGAGGCATTTTAAATGTCAGTCCCAAGAAACCTACAGAAATATTCTAAAGAAAGAGAGCATATTTGCATGAACCTGTCATGGTTTTAAGCACATATAGTTCTGTTCCCCACTAATAACACTTTAGTTGAAATCAAACACCATACATATACGGCAAAACACTACGTATGTAAAAACCTAACACAGCACAACACAATACAAGAAATGGTACTGAATATATTTGTTACATCCTGAATCAAACCAATAGACTATCTTGTAAACAAAACAGTAAGGTAACACTTCAAAAACAGATGAACAATTTATCCACCAAGAATGTATATAGTAAGCCAACAGCTCACTGTGGAAATACACTTAGCATGGTTATTAGAAAATCACAAAGAGTAATGTAACAAGTTACCAAATTTTATGGTCATGTTCTGCTTGATAATTCAAATAGGATGGATGGTAGTTACTAGTTTTCTATTCGTGTTGTTTTAACATCTCCATTGATTTTTAATGCTTTATTTTTTATCTGAATTTGCTGGCTGGTAGGTTTGCTTTGCTTAATACATTGACTGCAACACGCTTATTGTTGTGTTGGTAGAATAAGACATACGAGAAAATATATAGAAAGGCCATATGGAGGTTTCCATGGAAAGATTCTGATACTCCATAACTCTGCTGTTCAGAATTTCAGCTGAAATGGAAAAAAAAAGAAAGAAAGAGTGAGAAATATTGAAAGGTTATTGAACGAAGAGTCAGGAGAATGTGGTGGGTCTTGTTCCAGTTCTGTCTGTTAACAGTGCCAAAATATCCCCAATGTGAATTTCATATTGAAATGGGGCTTTTGAGAATGATCATGAAAGAACCACGTATCTATGATAGTCTATGATACCCTTTGAGTGCTAATGTGGAGAACTGTCCTAACAGAGATGCACTCCAATGTTTAAGGCATTATTTATCTACTCAATGCCAATACTTTTTGTTGAGCGTACACTCATGTGTCCACCTTTCAACTGGCATGTACTGAGAAAACATGTTTGATACTGAACATTTTGAAATATGCAAATATTAAATACACTTTCAACTTTTTCTCTGAATGTTTTAGAGCCATGCAGTAATAGCCTACCTGTGAAATCTGGGTATTGTATTGTACAAAATTACATTTTTGAACTTTAGAGAAATTTTCAGCACCTATTACATATTGAAGTGATTATGTTCTGCCAAATACCTCTACATTTTCTAACGAAATCAAGCAAGAAGGAATCACTCTTCCCAAACATGCTCTGTTGGAAAGTTAATTTGACAACTTTTGTTTACCTTGATGTAAAGCAGCCCATGAAAGTTGGGCAAGTGTTGGCAAAACCTATATTATCATGTTTAGTGCTATTCCCAAGTTGCCACTATCCCAAATGACACCCCTGGATACAATTACAATTTACAGCTCCTTCAGTTATCCCATGTGCTCAAAGGTGCCTTTTAAAATCCTTCCTTATGATTCAGGGGACCTATTTATTAAATGTCCAGTTGGCTATCTGCTCTGTCCAGAACACTTAGTGTTCTAAGCCCATGTGTCCTCAGCAGGAAAGAAGGGCTAGCTGGGATCTGGGGGACTAGTTAACTAGGGTACAGAACTGCTGCCTCCTTCCACCAAATGACACATGCCAGGTGTGAGAACTTCAAACTTTCGATGATGAAGGTATGCAATTCAGAGTTGATACACTATTTCAGTTAGTCCCTAGAATTAATTAAAATACCTAGGAGTCTTAAATGGCTTCAGAAGTCACATGTTCTTAAGTGAATGACTGCTAAAATGAAGTGTGTGCCATGATGGGCACCAGGCAAAGAGGAGATTGAAGGTGAAGGAGAAAAAGAAAAATCCCACAACAACAAAAATTTTAAAAAAGAGACATGATTGGAATGAAAATAATGACTCGGTTACTAAATTATGTCACTCAAAATTCAATACAATGTCACATGAGAGGCATAGTGCTTACTGTGTTTAACATAATCATATCAGTCAAATTCTAAAAATTCTTGTTTGATTTCCAAAAATAATGAAGCTATAAAGTGGTTAAAGAATTACAATTCAAAAGTAATCTGTGCCTCTGTCTAACAAATCATATATTCCTTTAATAACAGGAAAACATTTAAGAATGTGTTAGCTCATTGAGAAAATACAGTACCAGCTGTCATTGCCATATAAAAGATACTGCATATTTGCGCTCACATTTCAATTTGGAAAATTTATAATGTGTAAATCAAGCTCTACGTCACAAGCAATGTCTATGAATGAAAATATTTACCAAAGCCTTTTAGCAAGTGTAATTGTGTAAATAAAATATGTAGCCTATAAATATTATTTATATTAATACTTAAAGAAACTTACTGTTCTACTGGGAACTTCTACATCTGTGAAACAAACATGCTGCTATTCAGTTCATCTATTGATAATTGGGGTATCTATAGTAGTAAAAAAGATTTTAGATTAAAATAGTTTCTTGAGAGAATTCTGTTTATGTTGTTATATATGTGGAACTTTTCATCTATAAGCATGATTCCCACTTTAATAAAGCAAAATGGCCCTAATATTATACAATAATTATCATATGCATCTCCTTATAATTTCAAGACTCCCCCCAAACTTATAATTTGCCTTGTAAAAATACCTAAAGCAAATAAAAATCAAAACGACAAGCACATCTAATGTCCATATGAGAAGGAACTTCTGATATAATCACTGGGAAATGATAAAGATATCCATGTCTTGGAAAGAAATGTGATATTTTGTTTTCTCTCCAGTGGATCTGAAGGTAAAGGTGATGACTGTACTAAGCCAAAGTTTAAACACAATAATAAAAAATGGCAGTAAAATAAATTCTCTTGACCAATGAGGAAGCATTTAAGTAATATTAAGTATATACATTTGAGGATTGGTGTGTTACCAGTAATTAAATATAGAATATCAAAGCAACATCTGGTAACCAATTAAAAATGAGCAAAACTCCTCTGATTCATCTTGAGATGAATAGCAAAGCACATATAGCACTCTAGAATATACACAAAAATAAAAATTCTAAATGTAACAATGGCTTACAAACACATAAGAATCTCACCAATCCAAAAAGCATATACTGTGCATTACCAAAACATTGTAGTTATCTCTATCTGAACAGCTGAAATAAATGGCCAAACCTGATTGCCTGTAGTTGGTGCAGCGAAGGGAACGCTGGTGGCAGGTGTTGTTGCTGCAGACACAGTGGTAGGTGTAGCACCGTGCATCATGGGCACTTTCAGTTGAAAACCATAGAAGCAACACACAGGAGGGTAGAGGATTTATGCAACCATGACATTTACGATGGAATGAGGTGTGGTAGGTATCACAGCAGCAAGCCATGTGACATCATAATGACGAATACATCAGGGTGTTCATGCAATCACAGTCAATGCAAAGCAACACAGCATGGAAGGGGGGAAAATTAAAAGGAGAAAAGGGGAAAGCCAATTATATTTACCAATATGGAAAATGGAACCATTCTCAATATTTAGTAAGGTTTTGAGCAGAATCCCATTGCAGTTTACTCAAAAGGCTAAATTTTCAGAAGGGGCTATAATGAATGCATATGAAAACAAAAATCCAATGTTACAAGAGCTATCTATCTGAAGCTAGTTAAGCAGACAAGTAACTGGATTGCGCATTCAAAATGGAATTAAGGAATCATACATTGGAATTTAGGTTCACTGACTTATGGACATGAATGCCGTCACTAGATCTGCAGGTGCAAATGGACAGTTATATGTATACTTACCCAATCTGCATGCAAAGACATGGTAGGTAGACTGGTTGGTGTGTGGTAGGGGGGCAGATATGAAGAATATAGTGAACTATGCATGCAGGTTTTTAAGTACGCCTCTGGCAAACTCCTGGGAAACTTTGGCCATTTATCAAATAAATACATGGAGTACTTCGTAGTAAATCTTGTCTTCATAGCAACTATTATAGCTACAATGGTTAGCAGCTGTGAAATCTCTTGCAGGACGTTTTATCTTTGCCTTTTCTAGTTCCTATCTCTTTTAGAAAGTGTTTTGGGTGCTTTCTGATGTCTAGCTCATTTCAGAAACCAAACCAGGGAATTAATGTGTGAATGGCAATGTGTGAATGGCAAGCACACATATGTAATAATTTATCATGTCTACATCGATTGAATTCAGATTTTCTGAAAGTCTACAGAGAAAATGAATGGCCAGGGAAAACTTAACATGTGCAATACCATAGAAACCGAAAATGTACCCCAAATGGTGATTAACAAAAACTCCATAGTTATCCATTCCACTTATCTCTAGTTACCCATTACCCAGAGTCATCCCTGTTGTCTTATATGCCAATTCTAAAAACACTCTTGTTTTCCATTTGGGAGTGCAGCAATTTACAGGAAGCAGACCCACTAAAGAATGCAGTTTGCATTCCTAAGCAAAGCTCTGAAGGTGAAAGGACAAGAGAGCATCTTCAAGAAAATTGTCACAAAATATGAAGGCAAAGACACATTTCTCAAACTTGCAGAAGTCTGTTCTGATTGTACACATTATGATTACAATGTATACATATTGTGCTCCTGTTGGTATTAATGGAAATGTTTATTAATTCCTACAGAAGACAGTCAAACCCTCCCTAACAGGATCCTCACCTCCATTGCCAGGGTTCAGATCTCACTATGTTAGTGAGCGCTGATACTATGTGGTTGTCATTTTGAACTTTATTCTCAAGAAGCCTGTTAGTAGTGCTTTTGGGGCTCTGCATCTACTCTGGTCCACCAAGGTGACAAAGGTCAATTTGTTGCGAACTCTCAAAAGGGATGGGATGGCCTGGATTGATGTGAGATGGCAGAGTGGGATGGGGTGGGATCATTTCTCCTTGCATAGAACAGAGCTATTTTCTCCTGGTCTCTTCCTTGTGCCCATGAGGACTGTAGGAGCTGTGAACTCCCCACTCCTTCCTCATGATCTTCAGTATTAGGGCTGTATAAAATGGTTTAGAGATGGCTATCATATTGTGTTAGTGGCTAACGAAAGGATCTGTGTGCAACTGCTTATTAAAAATCACATAACACCCAAAGAGTCATTTTGAAATGATTCCGTTGTGCCTAGCTTCTATGCCAATGGTGCCTCAGGCTAGAGCACTATAGGATTTATTACACAACACTGCAGAATCCTCTGGCTTTGCTGAACTCATCCTCTGGCAACATGGGAACATTGAATGCTTTAAGTTGTATAGATAACTTTTTCAGGGAGGAATTGTTTCATTGTACTTTACAAGTTATACATTTTAAGTATTTTACAATTTTTAAATAATACATGTTAAGCAAGGAACAAAACTGCCCAGTCTGGCTAGTTTCAAATATTGAAAAAGAAACTTTTTAAATATTTCAGTTGCTATTATTAGGGTAGAAATAGAGAAATGACAGGGCCAGCATTTGGCCACAGTGGCAACCAACTAGGACTTGAGAAAGTAGGACTATTTTGATGCTACAAAGACATAAAACAGAAAGCACCATGTTAAACCTTAACACACTCAGAAAATTTCCAGCCACATCTTTCAGTCATTCATCTTTCATAGTCACAACAGAAAAACACATTTTTTCAGATTAGAAAATGTTGATAATTTTTGTAGAAAACCTACCAATATTTGAAGCAGGTGCCATGCACAGTATTGGCCCTGTACACCATGCAGAAAAGCGTGGAAAGTAAAGAAAAGAGATATTTGATTATTAAGGATTTACTGATAGAAATACATTTTAACAGAAAGATTATTTCTTTGCAATATCAATTACTCAGCACATGCAAGTCCAACAATCTCTCATGTTTACAATTACAGATTAGCTTTAAGGTCACAAACCCAGGTAATCAAAATAATTCTTGAATTCTTAGGTACAAAATGAGCTATAATTTTCTTTAAAAGAATTAACTCACTTAAATTACATATTTATTGTGGACAAATACATCCTAAATAATTTTTATAATAAGAAGGAGAATTTTAATTTATTACACATATCATTTTCTAAATATGCTCCAGAATCTTGTATCTGGTGTCTGTATTTCTATTTAGAGTATTAATCTGTTAACACTGTCTCCTCCACTGTCTCATAGTCAATAGGACTCAACTATGAATATATGGCAAACAGGTTCCATTAAGAGAAACCTCTTGGCTGGACAGGCTTTTATGTTGCTACTAATCAAGGGGAAAGGAATTTTTCTGAAATTTTTGCTTATGAAACTAGATTTCATGTTGGCCAAATCTTGCAAAAAATTTAAACTTGGAAACAAAGTAACTGTAGTATTAAGAAAACCTAAGATGAACAGCATAAATTTTATTATATTCAACCACCTTGACTAGACTTCCAGGGCTACTGAATTCATTCCATAGCTATAATATAAATTGGAAGTAGCCAAGGTAGAGTGATCTAATGTGTAGGTAAATTACCACAATTTTTGAAGGAAAAAAATGCTAGGAATAAAGTCATGTCAACTCATACTGGTTTTCTCTTTTACTCTGTAGACATTATGTGTTTTCTTCTTAGGTTGGGAGAAAAATATCTAAATTATTAGATATCAGTGGTTACTTATCATAAGGGATGTAAGAAAGTGCTGAAGAATTCCATATTTCCTCTCAGAAAATATCATATAAATGTATACAAATTGTATAATTTAAATGATGGCATGAAGGACTACTGTGGCTAGTAATTAAAGACTGGTGTTTTACGGTACCTTTCAAAATTAATTAACTGATTAATTTACTAATTAACCAATAAGTTTTCTCAAGTCTGGGTATTAACAAGGATTTCTAAATTTTTTTTAAACATATGTTATTTTCATTTAAAAATAGTTTCCAATCTTGGGCATTTAGCATTCTGTCAAAAAAAAAAAAAAAGAAAAGAAAAAAGAAAAAAAAATGCTGTACTCTCAATGGTTAGAATTTTCAATTTATTCTTAAGAAACTATATGCTCATTCTTAAACTACTAAACCACTGGAAGAAAATTATTTTCCCCCCCAGTATATGATATCTAATTGAACAAATTTTTGGCTTAACATTTTCTATTCAACTTGGTGTAAAACAGGCTATTAAATATAGCTGAATGTAGGAGATAACAAAATACGCTGCAAAATGTCAGAAAAGATAAACTGCTATGTATTTTGTATTAACTGATTCAAGAGTTACAGGCTAAAACTATCTGTTTAATCTATATTATACTATATTATACATTTAAGGGTAGTTTTATTTTAACTACCTTTGGCATATCAAAGATATATTGACAACGCATTTCCATAATATCGAAGCTGGGAGTTTTTTCCTTTTTTTTTTTTTTTTTTTCCCAACAACACTCTATTGTCTGTGACAGTGATACCTGAGAGTCAAGGAATTAGTTTGAGACTGAACCAAGTGAATTAATCATAAGCAAAAACCAAGAAATGCTAAAAAGAAAAATGTTGATACCTTTTCCTAGTTTGATTTCAAACCATGAATTTTCATGACTTATAGAAAAACAAGTAGTTCTAGATACTAGCAGATAAGCATAACTTCCTTGTTTTATTTTTAATCAAAATACATGTCCTCCTATAAAAGCTCTTTGAAAGCTGCTTTGCATTGTATACATTCACAACATCACCAAACTCGCTGCAGTGCCCAGAGCTGTGTTCTCACCTGCAGGGATAAATGCCGGCTGTGGGAGCTGCAGGTTAGTCAGAGCCTGTTGGCAGTGGAAAACAGTGGGATTAAAGACCGGGGTGGCACCATTGGGCTTTTCCAGTGCTGATCTCTTTGGTATCAGTTGCAGTGTACCAGGCTGCAGGGCCTGTGGGGGGGAGAGATGGTACTAGTACTAGAGAAAGTAACCAATGTACTCAAACCAAGCAAGCACCAGTTATATAAGGTATTTCCTGGGAATCCTCCGTAAGGGTATCCATTGGGCAAGACACTGGATAAGCAGTGGCCCCACAGCAAGGTAACCAACTGCAGAGATAAGGGGGTTCACGGCTGTGTGCAGTGGCTCATGCCTGTAATCCCAGCACTTTGGGAGGCTGAGACCAGCAGATTGTTTGAGCTTAGGAGTTTGAGACCAGCCTGGGCAATATGGCAAAACCCCATCTCTAAAAAAATAGAAAAATTAGCCAGGCATAGTGGTGCATGCCTGTGGTCCCAGCTACTTGGGAGGCTGAGGTGGGAGGATTGCTTGAGGCCAGGAGGTCAAGACTGCAGTAGCTGAGACCACACCACTGCACTCCAGCTTGAGTGACAGAGCAAGAGCCTGTCTCAAGAAAAAGAAAAACGGTAGTCCACTACATGAGCAGTAGTCCAAAACAGAAAAAAACGCAAAAAAAAAAAAAAAAAAAAAGGTTTTCAACTTCACTAATTTAGACCTCATTTGGGCAGGATGTGACAGAAAGCTACTACAGTAAACGATCATTTATAATTAATATCTCAGGGATACTCATCTGTGAATCTATAAAAATGAGATTAGCAGAAGCAACAGATAGCAGGAAAGAGATTCCTGCCTGTTAAAACTCCGATACAGATCTAGGACATAAATGGCATATAGGTGATAAAGCAGATGTTGGTAGATCAGAGTCTGACACTGTCACCCCATAAAATAAAATCCAATTTATACAAAGACTTCAGGTTCAAATCCAATAACTATATATTTCCTAACTAACAGGTAAGGAAAAAGCAAATGAATATTTCCTCCCCCACCACCTACCTCACCCAGGTACTATGTAGATAGCTAGCAAAATATATGCAGTTCTTATTTATAGAGGCTTGCTGTGCATTTCGGTATGTACCATTTGCTTTGTTAAGTTCTTGTAAGGTTTAATTCTAAAACCTATTAGCATTTTTAAACCATCCTTTCATGTCTACAGTTCTTTCAAAATCCCACTGTGCTTACAATACTCAGTCAAACTTGCCCCTGGATCAGATTCTTTGGAGAAGTTTAACACTACTTTACATTTTTTTTCCTCAGCAAATTGCACGTTACTTAAAAAACATGTCCCAGCAACAACAATTAGGTATCCTCCAAATTCTTAAGGAAACAGGAATGCTTGTGTTGAGTAACTATCCTACCATGTGTCCAAAAGGGTAATGCCATGACCTCGTTCCTGTGGATAACAAAGGTCTCAAGGTATCTCTATTTTCTTTTGGGAACTCTGCTGTCAGTACACACATTGTGACAGAGCTGCTTTTCATTTCACCTAAATAAAGAAAAGCATGCTAGAAGAGTGAGATAAAATAAACTGAGTAGCTTTAGAGATACAAAATTTCCAAATTTATCCCAGCAGACCAGATGGCAAAGGTCAGGACTAAAATCATAAACCATAAAACAAAATCTATCATTTCGAATGCCTTTTATCACCATTGGGAGAAAATGGTTTTGCTGAACATTTTAACTAAGACAGAAGACTTACTTATCTGGTTGTTAAAAAGATTTCCCTTTGGTATAAATGGGGGGTGTCCCTTTCTCTTGAAAGCTGGCAGCATGGTATGATCATCAGAACCACAGTTATGTTCCCTAGTAAACTATAAATTGGGGTGAAACCTAGATGAACATTCAATAGGCAGACGCTGGTAAAGTAGTACTGCTTGTTTATGGCTGGGGTTTATCCTGATGGGTCAGTGCCCAGTTCCAATTGGGTGGTGATTGTGCTACTAAATTCATAAATCTACTGAAGAAGTGTGAGACTGTGGATGAACGAAGTATCAACCCTTTATGTCTTTTTTTTTTTTTATTACAAGCTGCTTTCTGTGAACTTAACCTGAGCTATATACATGAACAAGGTAAAAATGTTTCTTTTACAAAGCATGTCCACTATGAATCCTTAAAAATATAAAATGCTTGAATTTCTTCATGAAGCCCTTCTTTATTTAATCTTACCTCTATCAAATTCCTATGGGCCAACTTGATCTCACTGCTAAGACCCTGCTGTGATCAGTTACTTAAAAGGGAATTTTATACTGATATTCACAAGTAACAATTGAAGGCCTACGATATAATATTTAGCTCTCTAAATGGAAATTTGAGGCTGACTTATAACCTATGCATTCTATCAAACACACTCAAATAATCAGAAATGGACAGATGCATATGAAGTTATTTTCATAGCTTATAATTCTCCCATTCAAAAGCATTTAAGACAAAAAGAATTTGATAAAGTCTTTTTTAACATTAATTAACAGATTATGTTGTTCAGATCAAGGCAGAAAGTAAGTTTTTTCTTCTTTGGTGCTCAGATCTTTCAGGATGTAATGAGTTCAGCTCTGAAAAAAAGTGGAGCCAGTCTGAAAATGGTACTGTGTCCTTGAAACCACAAACTACTAGGAAAAGTGGGAGAAATCTGCAGTATTTGGCTTAGAGAGGAGACATCAGAGTCCTTCTCACTTGGAATAGGGACTGACTTCTTTCGTGAAGTTCCAGTTGCAGCAAGATAAATTTCAACCCAGTATGAAGAAAACCTTCTTAATAGGGATGTTTGAAAATAAGTGTCTCTGTGTTGTGAATAGGCAAAGTCTGTGTCATGGGAGTCCAAACTATGAATGTTTGTGAGGAGATTTAGCTACAGTGCATCTCCTGGGCTTCAGGGTCACGTCAGTGCTTTTTCCACACCCAGGGAACATGAGGTTTCCTGCGGGTTTTGTCCTTTATTGGAGCTATTATGCCTTATTATACAAGGAAAGGTCCAGGTAGAAAAAGAAAGACATAGCAAGCAGCACATCAAAACAATGGACAGCTGTGGCAAACTTAAGTCATAAGAATTCCTGGTTCTCACTGATCGCACTACAGTGTTACACAAATATTTTTCTTACTTTCTACCTTTCAGTGTCACTAAGCAGCACTTACTATTCCCCCAAACTGGCTTTCTACAGCAACTTAAAAGTCAGGCCTCTGGGCTGTGCATGGTGGCTCATGCCTATAATCCCAGCACTTTGGGAGGCTGAGGCAGGAGGATCACCTGAGATCAGGAGTTCAAGACCAGCCTGGCCAACATGATGAAACCCGGTCTCTATAAAAAATACAAAAATTAGCCAGAAGTAGTGCACGCCTCTAGTCCCAGCTACTCAGGAGGCTAAGGCTAGAGAATTGCTTGAACCTGGGAGGTGGAGGTTACAGTGAGCCGAGATCACGCCACTGCATTCTAGCCTGGGCAACAGAGTGAGACTCTGTCTCAAAACAAACAACAACAAAAAACACACAACCGCCCCCCCCACCAAACAACAACAACAACAAAATACCAAAGTCAGGCCTCTGCTCCCAACCATGTAGAAATTCTCCCCCAGACTAAGCAGGCTGCTGTCCTTGATACTATGCCTCTAGAGAGGAAAAGTGGCCTTAACCTTTAGGAAATTACAGCCTACTTAATATCCTATCTTTTAAGTGCTCTGTTTTTGAAAGGCATTAAGGATGTTAGTAGCAAAGTGCCCATGAAAGTGGCTCACAGAGCAGAGGCAACTTTCTGCCTCGCTAGGATATTGAGGGTAGTGAAATTATAAAAGCACTAAAAAATAACTTACTGTTTAAATTATATACTTTACCCTTACTCTGAAAATCGGAGAAAGAGCACAGTAGGTTAAAAGCATTAGTAAGGCTTTTAAATAATTATCTTTAGAAAATCTTAGTGAATAAAGTAGAATAAATAGGTTCTTTCTTTTCCAGCTTATAACCTTGACTGTTCATATTAAGGTCTACTCATGACTATCCATGATTATGGTTACAGGATATTAGACAAATTGAGGAATATACAAAGCATTTACTCTGAAACAGGCCAGAAGTACAGGCCTTTTCTTACCATGGCAGAGGCAGCTGAATGGTTCATCTGGTGATGAGCTGCCTTGAGTTTGGCTTGCAAGTGTGCAGGAGGATGAAAGTACTTGCATTTCTCCCGCGAGCATCGACCTTTGATGTAATCCATGCAGATTGTCACAGTATTATCACTCGCTTCAATCATGGAAGCATCAGTAGGGTGAGCATAGCGGCAATCATTCTCCCCACGGGTACAATTTCCACGCTGAAATTCTCGGCAAACCTTAGAACACACACATGCACATATACACGCATCACACTGATGACTGGAAGCTGACTGGCTTTTATTTATTTTGCTAGTGAATGTAACAGTAATTATACATACATTGAATATATTATTTACGAACAAATCTAAAAAGATAAAGAATAATGTAAAGCCATATTCACTATGACATATAAACAGACAGAATTTCTATTCCCAGAAAAAAATTCTATTCTCCACAAAGGAAGGTTGTCCTTACATTAAAATAAAAATGCTTAAAAAATGTATTACTGAAAACCAGTTTTAATTCTCCAATTAATACACAGCCCTAAGCATAATTAGTGTTTATTTAAGTCCAAGATGAGTCTTTATTACAACGTAACGCACTGGTTTTCCAAAGTCAACTTGTGAACCATAACTGAGTTATATGTACAATCAGATTCTATTGCAATACATTACTAGGCATTTAAGGGGCTGCAAATGGAGCTGACTTGATAAGGAAAAGACTAGCTATTTCAATGTACAAAGAATAACAAGAGAAGAATGAAGGACTTCAATAAATCAAAAAGTTGTCTGAAATTTCTTTCAGATTTTCTTTTCTTAGGCATCGGGGGTATTTATTGCCTAGCACATCACTCTCAAAATGGAGAAAAAAGTTGAGGCACTATGAGACGAATTTACTTTCTTTATTCATATAGCTTTACATTCTGCAATCATAGAGAGTTATATTGTCTACTTTTTTTCCCACTTTGATTATTCTAGCAAGTAGAGACTCATTAACAAATACAATAATCTGTTTCTGAAAGCTGGAGCCTAGGTAAAAGGAACATTCCCACAGAGGCTTCCTGAGCCATCACACAGTCTATGGCTGGGTACACTTAACATATTGTTTGACCCACCATACAGCTGAATCAATGCACTTTATAACAAGGTATGATTGCAGTAGTAAAATGTTTAACATTTTTCTGAGGTTATACCCTATAAGCTAAGAAATTTGGGTTCTCTTATTTAAAACACAACACATTGGGCTCTGAGAATACTGCTTTATGTGTAAGGTTAATATCTATTCTACAGGTATTTATATATATCTTCACAAATACCTCCAGTTTATCTGAACGCATCAGTTTTGGGCCAACAGCTCCTGGCATTGCAAGAGGTGGGTTTCCAGGAATCAGAACAGGTGTATTTGGTACAAGTTCTGCAGGAACGAGGCTCATCCCAGGATGTGGTATGTAAGGATTGAAAGCCATGGGAGGATTAGCTGGAAGTGATGGAGTCATAGGAAAAGAACCCTGTATGTTTAAAACAGAAAAAAAAAGATGTTAGAGGTAAACAGATTCTTCCTGTCATTACACAAAGAGGCATTCTTTCAGAAACATCAAAATTACTTACGCCACATCAAAATTTACCACTGTTTCTTCTGATTTATTTTTAGCCTCTTACTAATTCCCATAGAGGAGTTGCTTTTAAACCAACAAATCTCTTTAAGTAATAACTTTATTGGTAAGCTGATAAAATAAGCCACATGACTTTAACAGTCACGAATTAGTCAAATTAAATCTCATTGCTAGAGTCTGTTCCAAATGTGTTTCCTCCAACTCTTTCTTTTTTCCCTAAAAACCATGTCACCAATGACAATACACATATGGACAATCTTCTTTGTTTCCTTACACAGGCATGGCCTTTGCATTCAGTCCCTTTCCTTCCTCCTTCCTCTTCCCCATCAATACTGCTTGGCTGTAAGGCTGTCTGTCCTACCACAGGCCCCACCTGTACTACCAAATACTGACTGTGCTTCTGTCTTCCTGGCCTGCTGACAGTTATGGAACACAGCAAGGAGTTGAAGAAGAAAGGGATAAATTAGAAAAAGTGAGTGCTTTAATGTCTACCTAAAATGAGTTTACTATGGTCCATTATATTTTGTTATTTTTTTAAATTAGAGGTCCTGTTCTGTTTAATTTTTTAATTTTTATGTGTACATAGTAGGTATCTATATTTATGGGGTACCTGAGATATTTTGATACAGGCATACTATATGTAACAATCACATCAGGGTAAATGGAGTATCTATCACCTCAAGCATTTATCATTCCTTTCTGTTACAAACACTCTAATTATACTCTTTTAGTTATTTTTAAGTGTACAAGAAATTATTGTTTACTGTAGTCATCCTAGAGGTCCTGTTTCACAAGCTAATCTGACTTGCCTAGCCTTGTCTTTATCTAGGGGGCCAGATGATATTCATAGTTCAAAAGAAGGCACTAGAAATGCTACAAGAATCCCTGTTAGGCAGGAAGAGATAAGATAACAGGATTATATGGTATACAAACTAAGTGTAACTTGTAAAAAATAAAAAAAGCCTCAGAAATGCAAAAAGCTATTACTGTTTTTTCTATTTTCAAAGATCCTGGGACTCAAAAAGTTTGATATGTGTATTTCCTTTATTATCTGTCACATTATTTATCACTTTGCTGTTTCCCAGTTTGTTCCACATGTGGGTATCTTTTCTTGTCAATGTGGTCTTATTCCTTTGATAGTTCTCATCTCCCCTATAGTACCCAACACTTAGTGAATGACTGGTTGACAGATATACTCAATGATACATTTTAAAAGCTTAATGAATGAATAACAAATCATGACTAAATGTAGTATATTTCTAAAAATGACTCTATAAGGTAGTTATTGTGAAACTGGTGGTGTTTCACTGTGTATTACTAATTACATGCGTTCCTTTTTGCTTTATAAAATTTTTTCATGTTAAAAAGAACCCGAATCTGTTGCATTTGCCAAACTGTGCCCATACCTGCTAAGTCACATTAATAGAAACAAGTCTAAATACAAATTGTGGAATATAAAGTGAGGGGCAATGTATACTCTTTGCCTCACCCCCACACAGACTTGAAATTGTCACCCGCACAGCATTCCAAGAAGACCCTGTTATAAACCATATTCAGCTTAGAAGGAAGCACTCCCCCATTAGCATTCTACCTTAGATGAGTTTATCAAATTAGCTGATTGGGACATTAGGAAGAGCAGGAAGAATCTGGCGCCAAAAAACTGGCAAGACTCATGAGGGTGAGTAGAAAAGGCATGGTTGCTAAGAGCCTTAAGTGGAAAGGGAACGCCAGGTGCCAGGAAAGATGATGGCATAGTCAGGAGGACTCTAAAGTCTGGGGGCAAATAGCCAAGGGCTGACCCAGTCTAACTAGGTCTTATGATATAATAGAATACAGGAATATGGGATACCTGTCATGGAATGAGATGTGAAGCTCAGGAACTAGCTGATGTGACATTATCTTATATAATGAGAAGGAAATCTTCTGGAAACAGCCACCCAGGCATGCTTCAGCAATAAGGCAGACTTTATCGATGTAATGATTCATAGTTGTCTCAAGATCACCAAGAAATCTCCGAGAAAAACTCCATTTTTGAAGCACATGATAGTGCTCTTCACTTGACTTTTTGTTGTCTCTGACTTTACTGGTAAATTTCTCACTGAAGCCACCAGCCCATTCTCCTGCATGCTTTTTGCTTTTGCCTTTTACAAAAATGAGCAGGACCATTATTGCATCTATTAATTTTTGAACTGAAAGAAAAACCTGGAGGTGGGTGAATTTTCCAGATTAAAAAGTTATTAATCACTAATAAATGCTGATCAATTAATAATATTAAAGCCTAATGTATGTGTAAGCAATGCTTTCTGTTTATGGTAGCTTTTTATTTCCGTAATTTTTTCTTTTCTTTTTTGGGGTGACTCACCAGGGAAATTCTCCTAGCTAAATTCTGCTTTCTTTGGATTACTTTTAAGCTTTCTTAGGTTTGTTATATGCTCCAAGTGTATGGAAAAAAAGCTATAAATTAATGATTAGTCTACATATAAAATGTAAAGGGCTTGCTGCAAGTATTTAGATTTTTCTAAGGTTTCATCACAAACTATGCTATCTTTAGATCTTAAAACTGTATCCTAGCGCTTATAACTATTTCCTCCTTGAGTATGAAATGCATTCTATAACACTGTTTATTGAGAAGAAGCAAGCTATTCCATTGTCAATACTGGGGCAGAGGCAGGAACTCCTGAGTGGCTTATTTATTTTCAGTTGGACATTTCTGTTTTCTCACCACCACCTCTGCCCCAGGGTAACTACTCCATTTCATGAATTTGAACATTCAAGGGCTTAGCATTGACTAACAGCCATGGGTTAAGTCAAGCAGCCTGCAAGCTCACAAGCTCAGCTTTAATAAACAACTTTAATCCTGTCTCTACATATATCTCAGCCCTTGATGTCAGTTGAGCTAACATGAACCTATCTGTGGGTTAATTTTTATTGTAAAGGAAAAGGTTTTAAATACACTGACTCTGATTTATCTTTACAGCTTGAAATGGTCTGAACACTCAAATGTTTCAGATATTTAAATTCCAACCTAAATTATTTACTAAATACTTGAAAAGAGACGGCTGTCCCTCCCATAACCAGGTGTAAATTTTCATCTTTCTGAGTCTTGTCAACCAGCAAGAATGGTGGCGACAACAGGCTTTATGAATAAGATCACCTGACAACTATTTATCCCGATGTCTCTAGCAGTATTAGCTCCTACAGTAGAAATTCCCATGAGTTCCCAGTGACTTGCAGAGTGCTTAGGAACTATTGGGCATTCAGGAAATGTGTCCTAAAAATTAATGAAGTATCTAGAGAACAGTGGCTTCTAATCTTTTTTGAGTCCAGGACTTCTCCAAGAGTCAGATGAAGACTGCAGGCTCTGTCCACAGAAAAATTCATGTATGCAAAAAATGTTGCTTGTGATCTCAGCAAGTTCAAGGACCCCACAACACTCACCCCTGGTGTGGGGTTATGAACTACTTACTGGTTAAGAATCTCTGTTCTAGAGTAAGACTCTGCAAACTAGGGCCCATAGGCCAAATTCAGCCTGCCCGTGTTTTTGTATGGCCAGCAATCTAAGAATGTTTTTTACAGTTTTAAATGATTGAAAAAAATAAGAAAATAATATTTAGTGAAACATGAAAATTATAGGAAACTCTTATTCCAGTGTCCATCTACAAATTTCATTGTGCTCATTAGTAGACCTGTATTACAAAAAATTGTAGATACTTGTTTCCTCTCTTGTTATATAAGTACCTATATAATATCCTCAACTTTGCCTCTTGAACCTCACAGCCTAAAATATTTATATTTAGCCATTCATAAGAAAGTTCACTGACCTTGGTTCTAAATGATTTCAAAAAATGAAATTCTCCAACACTTTCAGGAGTAAAGCACCAAATATATACATATATATAGACGTGAATTTAGTATTTGTAGCAAGATTCCACAAACTGAAAATGTTTGGCTTTGTAAACCAATACTAAGGTATTCACTAAAATGCTCTTTTACATAGTTACTAACGTTAGGATTTTTAACTATTTGTTTCTAGAATAATCACTACTCAGTGACTAAGAATGAGGAAATAGCAGTTGGAATCCTGTAAAGGTAAAAATTTTAAGAGCCACCACAGATTGCTCTTAAAGGATTCTGAGGCAATGCAATTCAATGCAAAACTATGCCTCAAATAAATGTCTAGTTTACACACACTTTAGGAACAATGACTTAACAGGTTATTTCTCAAGCTAGTATAAAGAAATGAAAATTAAATGTTATGCTGAATCAATCTTTGTGTCTCCTCAATAGCCTAGATCTATTTGTAGTTACCTCAAAAATATCCAAGATCAGTTACAATTATTGTTGGATGAATGTAAAAATTTCAAAATCCTGGCCTAAGGTCAACAGAATAATCGGGGCCTTCCATCTCTGAGTTTCTGTCTGGAGTTGAATGACTAGATATTTTCTTTTACAGAAGGGTAAACATTTGGTAACCATTTGTTGACCCAATTTTAATACAAGAAAAATAGCACTCTTAAATTTTACTAGCATCATAATATCTGCATTTTATTGCTCATTTGCAAGCATTTATATAATGTAAAAGGAAGCTCCTTTTATGGTCATCATGCATATTTCTATCTTTAGATAATCCCAAAATGCACTGAAATATATAATGTTAGTTTCCATCCGACTTCATTTTCACACAGAGTACAATTGAATAATCTCTCTTTCACAGTATTTGCTTGGTCATTTCCACACTGCTTGAGTAATGTTCCATGGGGACTGAAGTGGCCAAAATGCAGGCTGCAGGAGACCCACATAACCTCCAGACTAGTTAATTGGTTTCTCAATAATTGAGAGTTAACTTTATAAACAGATGCAAGCTGATAGCGGTGGTATTTAAGTACTAATCGTAC